ATCTATAGTTGAACATCGTAAGAATTACTTCTCTGAGATGTTCCCTCTAAAAGATATGCTGGCTATGCCACTGGTGCTAGGATATCCTCAACTTTGACCAGTGAGCAATAGTACAAAGCACTTCTTACTCTAATATGAACATTTCCTGCACACTGACTTGCGAATTATGCAAATTTCGGAGGATCATTCTCAGCTCTATAAGCTTTCAACTTTTATTAAAAATGCAGCTACATGAGTCATAGCATTGAATTTATTTTTACGTAAACTCCCGCACAAATGAATCCAAACCGGTTTCAAGGTCCAACTTCCTCGCAAGAAAGCCGGGGTGTAAAATATGAAGCTATTTAGTTATCAAACGAAGTTATTTGTCGATTCTCCACCTACTCTAGGCGTTGAAGCGAAACAAGTTAAATTTAAAACAAAATTGAACAAAAGTGATTTTAGATAGCTGATTGAGTTTGAAACATTGCAAGCTCAAAGATCTTACAAAAAATCTAAACTACTTCTCGCCTTTTACTGTATCAATCCAACTCGGTCTATAGGAGGAAAAAAATGTTATCAAGCCATTTACAAGACAAAAGTTCAGCAACACACGCTGTTCAGATGCAACAGTGTTTTGCGGAGAAGAATACAACATCAAACCAAAAACAAATCTCGATTTGGTTGCAGAAGTCCATACAAAATTCACTAAACAGCGAATTACAACAAAAAGTAACAAACCAAGGTTGTTCATGAGAGACCTAAGCCAATGGCGACTGGATTTATCTTCATCAAGTATAGCTTTGAAGGTTTCATCCTTGAGTTGATCAGGCAAGCATTGGCGCAAAGCTTGTTGAGCGCTGCAACAAACTCCCGAAGAGAATAAGGAGTAGCACGTTAATTACAAAACTTCAACTTCAATCAACCTCACCGTGGATTATCACTAAGACGGCTATAACAGCGAATCACATGTTTTAGCAATCGCGACGAGGGATCGCGGGAAAGCTTCATCACCATTTTACCCTAAAACTCGATCACATCAGCTCTCTATAAGCTTCTGAGAAAACAAAGCTTTGTACAAGGATCATGGCCACATGGCTGAACCGCTCATATGTCTGACATATATAGGACAAGCCAGTATCGTCTAGAAGAATCTTCTGAAGAATGAACGTAGCAACAGTTTTAGACAGCTCCGTTCCTTGCTCCATGATTCGCAGGCACAACGGTATTATCTCCGTAGACAAAAGAAAAGATATGACCTAAATCTATGTTTCAAATCGAAAATAGCGATAACTGAAAGAAAACAAACATTACCTCTTTTTCGTCAGTCTTCACTAAAGCACCTATTACACCGAGTGATGTTAAGCGAAGATATTCAAACGAACGAGAAGTTTTCGTCGTATGCAAAAATGGATATAGATATAAAGGGATATGGGCTAAACAGGGAAGTTGGGATGTCAAATAGTCAAATAGTTATAGCTCAATGTATAATGCTGACCTTGCAAGAATGGTCCTCGCGTGTCCTTGTGGCTTGCTACACACTGCATCAATGCCAGAGCGTTGCAAACTCGATTTGATTGTGCTGCAGTCAAGTTAGCAGGCATTATGGCTGGATATATAGCAATTACCTAAATAGATAGCAAAACCATAAAACTCACGAATCGTCAGATTTACATTTAGTGAGCAATTACCGCCTGGTCTAACCTCTTCATCATGAACGTTTACACTGACACTAACCTCTTTATCATGAAATTTCACAGTAATGCGAGTGAGTATCAAATTTTCAAAAGACCACATATATACGTGAAAACTTTCTGCTTGTACTAGCTGTCGCAAATCGCTATTATCATAAGTGAAAATGATCCAAAAAGACTAACGATTGACGAAACATTTCCAACAGGATCAATGACGAGAAACGTTAACTATTAGTTAATTTTTGCAAACCGACCAATCGCACAAGAGCGCTGCTCAGAAAAAATTCAGAAAAGAATCCAGTCATAAAGATAGTTGAAAGAATGCGTCTTTTTACAAAGACATGTTATGACATGTCAGAGCAAAAGGTAAATCAATAAACATGCGCACCCAAACATGCCTTAACAAGTGTGACAAAAAAGTCTCATCCTTTCATGTCAAAACAGATTTAACAAACCCTCAAACTTAGCATATATAACTCGGCAGTGTCGTTTTTTGTTTCAAACTCGATGACGAGGGTAAGGCTAGAGTTTTCCTCATTTTATTATTGAATGCTGAAAAGACCTAACCTTGCAAAATCGACTTTAGGTGAAACCAATACTAAAAAAGGATTTATTCACAGATGACACAGATGAGCGCCTCTTCAATGTACTATAAAACCAAGGACGGAATGTTTTTTTAGATAAAGAGCAAAGAAGACCTCATTTCTTTGCAAGACGTTGATGTAAACCAAATAAATACCTCTTGTAGTAAAGCAGCCATAGTTCCAAAAGAGTACCATAGCCAGATCGGCAGTTCAGGTACGCTATCCCTCTTCTTGCTCAACTCTAAGAGAGCATTTTCGCGCTTGTTGCAGTCTTTTAGGTCCAAAATCCATTGCAAGATTTCTTCTCTGCAAAGATCTTTTGACAAACGAAGGCGATAATCAGAGTAAATGCAGAATGCGATTCAAACGCCACAGTTAGAAACTAATTAGAGCGGATACAATTTCAGCCAAAGCTTTATTTCAGGGGAACAAGCAACAACTGGCAGCTCAGAAATCAACTCTAGTAAGTACTTCTGCTGGTTTAACTTTATTTTCTCTAAAAGCACTTGTATCTTGCAATGAAAATGTAGAGTGTATTCGAAATGTCATTTTTTTCCCTATCCTAATATGATATATTGAAGCTTTGATGCACTCGCTTAATGTTTTCCCTGAGAACTATTAGAAGCGACAGGGAACCTTCGAATCGCCTACTTTTATTTCGTCAAAGTTTGCTTCAGAATTGCTCGCAGTAATCTGAATTCACAAGACTAATTAATCTGATTATTCAAGAGAGTGCTCGGTTTAGTGCCAGCCTTTAGTAAAAAAATATGAGCCCACAAGAGGTCTATTCAATCTAATCATATATATATATATATA